ACAATCCCTTCATCCCCATAATTAGGGAGAGGGGGAAACGACATATATACATGCATTGGGGACGGGAACAAGTTATACCAGGAACATTTCATTTCATCAAACGGTAAAGCGGACTCCATACCGACAAATCATAGAAAAAAAAAAAAAAAAAAAACAGCATGGAAACCAAGAAATGTTGTAATCAGATTATTACAGACAAAGGAAAGCTACCGAACTCGATCGCCCATTCCCCGGCTCCTCTCCCTCCATCCTGTTGTTATCTGCCCAGCTCGATATGGTTCCCTCCCTTTCCCTCGATTACTGTTCTCCGCTTGCTTCCATTCCCCCTTTCCGATTCTCTCCCTTAATATTTCCTGCCCATCCTCGTCCCCCGGTGCTTGCCACACCTCGTGCGCCCCATTCTCCTCCTCTCTCGCGTAGTCCCTCCGCTTCTATTACTCCGAGCTACATGCGGATTCGATTTCCATAGATACTCGGTTACGGTGGCTGTCGAGACAAAATGCACATGACCCACTTCTCCTTGGGTGCTCCCGATGCTGGCAGGAGGGGTGTGGCTCCCCTAAAAGCTTTTTTGCCGTCGCCACCAACCGGCTCGTCAGAGGGGTTAAAACACCTGCATCACAATCGTACACGCACCCAATCCCCGGAGGCATGCAAAAAACCAAGGTCCATACAGAGAGAAAAGTACGAGGGAGATATATCGCTGCTTCCGCCGCTCTCTCCTCTTCGGTGTCGGGCGTGAGCGGTAAGTCCTCGTCCGCTCCCGTCGAAAAGTCCCAGTCCGCCATCGTAATCGAAGTATCGCCGGTTCGCCTCGTCCGCAGGTTTGCTCAGTACAAGCAAGCTCACACAAATGCATGTCAATCAAGTAGAAGAGTAGGTATATATCGGGAGACTTATCGGGCCGGGTACCATCATGACCAGGGGCGGGAGATTCCTTCCCTCGAATTTCCCTGGGATTACCTTCGTCTTAGGACCGCGCTCGTCAACATTCGAGGAGTTCTGTTTTTGTGTGTGTGGTCCAATGCCTTGATCCTGCAAATTCCCATGGGATTTCCTCCGAATAAGGACGGCGCTCGTCAACTTCCGGGTGGATTACCGTCGATCGGTCCAGATTCGTCCGCTTCAAATCAGGGGGTCAGCTCTGGACTCTTTCCTGTGCTTCTCCGTGTGGTCCCCTGTTCAGCAGGCCGGATCAGCGTCCTGGGGATTTTTCCCGTAGGTCCAAAACCGGTTCATCCGTAACTCGTTTCCACGTCCTCCCCCTTTTTTTGGTGGTATTCTTTCGGGTGGGAAGGGGGTGGGGGTAGGGGACCCCCAACTGCAGATGCCGTGGTTGCTTCCTTCCTCCTCTTCGGGACGTACCTTCCTTACCTTGGGGTCTTGGATGTGTCCTTTGTGCCGCTGCCTTGTGTCAGCTGCTGACCTGTTTCATGTGTGTGTGTGTGTGTGTGTGTGTGTGTGAGAGAGAGAGAGAGAGAGAGAGAGAGATTTCCATCGATAGGATGAGCAACACACTGGCCAACAGGTAAGTCTCCAACCCTGCAGCTGGCCTCACGTTACTTCCATTGAGAGCATGAGCAAAATCGAATGAAGCTTCCGCTAGAACATGGAAATATACACTACTACACGTGTGTGTGTGTGTGAGAGAGAGAGAGAGGGAGTTTTCCAGCCATGCACGCAGAGAGACAGAGAGAGGCTACTTCCATCGATAGGATGGGAAAAATCGGAAGGAATCTTCCACTAGAATATGGAAATATACACTGCTGTCCAGCCATGCGCCTAGAGAGATAGAGAGAGGCTACTTCCATCGATAGGATGAGTAAAATCGGAATGAATCTTCCTCTAGAACATGGAAATATACACTGCCACTTTTTTTCTTTTTTCGTTTTTGTGTGTGTGTGAGAGAGAGATAGAGAGACACAGAGAGAGGGCGAGAGAACAGGTTAGGGCCTCGCCACACCACTGTTGTGAAACGGTATTCACCAGTTAGCAGTAGCTGCTGCAGACCCCAGGGTTCGATCCCTAGACCCCAACCTTACCTGTGTACAGTACCTGTGTTGACCCGTGGAATTGAACCCGCGACCTGTGTATTTGTAATAGCTGATAGGTTGTCGTAGGGTCCATAGGTAGCATGGGTTCGATCTGTAGACCTGTCGAATAGGAGTCTTAGTCAGGTCTAGACATCGTAGCTGTAGTTTTCTTGAAGGGTCAGAATCATAGCTGCTACAGTCACGAAAGGCCAAGTCTACGGCCTTCCGGAAGGTCCCAGTAGTGGCCTTTCGAAGTTGCCCACGTTTAAGCAGAGGCAAGTGGTCAAGTGGTGAGGCAAGTGGGCAAGTGGTAGAAGTCTACCCTGCTGAGTCAACAGTCCCAGTTCCCAGTCAGTCCAGCAAGTACCGCACGGGACTGTGTGCACTTTGGGCAAGGGAAATGGGCCAGACCAACGACCTGCAGAAGTATAAATCAAGAAGCAACGCCCAGCCATTCATTCATTCATGCGGAAGCCATGCGGAAGCGCTGCCACAGCGACTTGTGCGAGGAGGTCTGCAGTGAGCCCGAAGTAGAAGAGGGCGAGAGAGATGAAGTACAGCCATAGGGATAGAGTAGGGGCAGCCATAGCTGCCATAGCGGTAGTTAGAGGGAAGTTTGTGTGTGTGTTGTGTGAGTGTTCAGAGTGATGCGTATGGGATATCCAGGGGATCCAGTGTGTAAACAGTGAGTTGTTTGGGCGCTAAGTCGCCATGGCCAATTGAAAGTGAACTCGTATCTGGAAGCCATATCTCTGAGTTCTGAATGGGCGCATGTCGCCAGTGTGCTGTGTTGCTGTTTACACACATGAAAAGTGTGAATAAGACGAGTCTGATTGCAGTTGAAGCGAAAACAGAAGGAATGCATCTGCCGCAGAAAGTGGTAAGATGCATCCATTGCTATTCATAGTAACGGATAGATCTTGCCCTCCTCCGCGGGAAGATGCATTCGTTTGTTTTTCATTTCGACAGTGGTGTGGCGAGGCCCGAAGTCTCCATATCTTTTTTATTTTTTGTGCATTGAATCCGAACACCATGGTTGCATCCCTGCCGACCGCCGACCCCGACTGCCGACCGTATTGCAGCTGACCAGTAGGGCCGACC